ATTGCTGCCCCAGGGATCCTTCAGTCACTAAACCTCTCGCTTTTTCCCCTTTCTCCCTCCCTCTGCCCCATTTCCAATCTCTGTCTGCTTGATCATCTGTGTCATCCTTTGTCATTTTTACCTATCAGTATCAGCGCCTTTCTTGGTATCTTTCTATACTCCCCTGCTTCTGATTACCTCACCTGTCTGTCCCTCCTCCCATCTCTATCTACCACTGTCTTTAACTTTTTAATCTCCCTCTATTTCTGCCTTTCTGCTCCTATTTTATCCTGTCTGTTTTTGTCCCTCTGGGCATCTCCCTCTTGTCCCTTGGGCCTGACTCTGCCCAGGGGTTTCTACATGACCTGAGCAGAAGCCACCATATCAGACAGGGTCTCAAAAGGAAGCCCAATTCCCCCCCAGTTGGTTCAAATGTGGAGCCTTAAAGATGGAATCTTTTCAGAGCTAAGGGGAGGAGCTAGAATTGTTGAGACTAGCACCAACCCCAAGGTCGGGGGTCAGGAGCCAAAGCGCTGTGAGTGTGGTGAAGGCTGGAGCCCTGGAGCAGGCGCTGCCCTGGAGGAGCTGCAGTCCTGGAGAGATGCACCACACCAGAGACACAGGGCTGAGTCTCTTCTCTCACCCCTGCTGGCTACTCCCATGGGCCAGACGCAGCAAGAAGCTGGAGGACTCCGCATCCCTGGCACACAGCAGAGAAGGGTGGGGAGCAGACTGAGCTGGGGGTGAGGGGCCAACAGAATAACCAGCATGTTGGGTACCCTCCTCAGAGTCCTGGCTGAGCAAACCCTTTGGTCATCAACCCCCAGGGCAGGCTCTTGAGGCCCTCCTAAGCCCTCCAGAGAATCAGTGTCCAAGGAGCTAAGGTCGGAGGTCTCAGTCCTGCCCTTTACTGTCAAGGCATACATTTTTTCAAAGCTAAAATGAGAGGATGCTGGGATCATATGTTCCCTCTGCTCCCAGGCAATCTCTGCTTTGCCAGTATATCAGTTAAAATTAGGTTTTTGCTAGTGTCAGAAAATCCAAGATAATAGTTGCTTGTAAAAGATAAAAGTTTATTTCTCTCACACATACAGAAATCCAATATATAGAAACTCAGATTCAGGTGGGCGGGTTCACAGTTATTGGAGATCCAGGTTCCTTTCATTCTATTGCACTGTCTTCCTCAGTACATAGCTTCTACCTCATGATGTAAAAGGGCTGCTCAATCTCCAGCCATTATAACTTCACTCCAATGAGCAGCAAAAAGGAAACTCAAAGATTCTCCTTCCATTTAAGATTTCCTGTAAGGCCCATCCACTTTCACTGACATGTCATAGGCCAGAACCTGTCTCTTGGCCATACCAAGATGGGACCAATCATACTAAGATGATTTTATGTCATCAATTCTTAAGGGAGAGGATGAGGATGGATATTGGGTCTGCCACAACTGGAATGGCTGGTGCTTTGGGGTTTGGAGAGGCTAAGGAAGCCGAGGGGAGAGGGTACACACAGCAAAGTTTCAAGAAAAAGAAGAGACACAAGGCAACCTCTTACCCTCTCCTTTCTTCTTTCAGGGAGGCTCCTGCCAGGAGGTCTTCCCAGCAGCTTCCCAACAGCTGCAGCTAGAATGAGCTTCCTTCCAGCTGTCTCGCCTGAGACCCTAGCACTCATTTCTCACAGACACAACTCTGTTGAAACCACCCCCATGTGGCCAAGACCCAAAGACGTTTTTCCGTCCTTAACTTCATCCTCTTCGCAGCAGATTTGACATGAAGGAGGCACCTTTCCCTGGCACCCCACTCCTCTTCTGAATCCCCCATCACCCTCTCCTCGCCCTCTCCTACTCACAGGTAAAGGCGGCCCCTCATTTGTTGTTGCTGGCCTCGCTTTTGCCCTAAATGGTGGGCTTCCTCCTTGCCCAGGCCAGACCTCTTTCCTCTTCTATGGACATACTTTTCCCAAGTGGCCTCATCCAGAACCATAGATTAAGAAACTCTCTATGGCTAAAGGCCCTAAAATTTTATCTCCAGACCTAACTCTCCCTCCTGATTCATTTCTCCAAACAGTTCACCTCCCACCTTCGTGGACAGATGTAAAAGAACAAAACAGTTCTGCCATTGCTCTCACGCCTCCTCCCTCAGCGTTTCCACTCAGGAAATGGTGCTCACAGCCACCAAGACCCTCAGGCCCAAAGTTTAGGCGTCCTCTTTGATTTCTCCCTTCTCCTCGCCCCTCCTTTCCAACCTGTCAGCTGGTTCTGCTTGGTCACATCCATCCTTTCTCACCACTCTGGCTACTTTCACTCAAGGCCAGTCCATCTCCCTTCCAGCCTGACCTCTGCTCAGCCTCCACTGGCCCCTGCTCGTCGCCCATCCCTTCTTCTTGAAGCAGCAGGGACAAACTTGGAGCATTAATCAGATGGTGTCACTCTTCTCTTTCCATTAGGGTGGAGAGCAGACAGGCCTGGGGAGGAGGGACAGCAGGATAACCAGCAGAGGCTACAATACGCACTCAGAAGAAAGTCCCAAATCCCAACCCCTCACCAGCAGCCTGCACACACAGCATGGCCCTCTGCTCACCTCTCCCTCTGCACCTCTACTATTTGCTCTTCTCCACTCTTTTTTCTTTTTCTTCTTTTTCTTGGTCACTTCTGCAAACAGGTTAAGGTCTTTCGTACCCTTTTATCTCTGCACCATCTGTCCCTTCTGCCTGGTGCGCCCTCCCCCAGCTGCTTCTCATCCTGCAGGTTCAGCCTCAACGCCAGGCTCCTGGGTCACCCCCGGCCCCATCTTAAACCATCATTAATTTTCTTGCAAGTCTTTTGCAATTGTTTTATGTATCCATTGACTGTCTTTTTGTCTGTGTCACTCCACTAAAATGTAAGCACCACAGGGGCAGGAAATATGTGGCCATGTCCTCAACACAGTTGGCCCAGCATAGACCTTGGTGCATACGGGGTGTTCAAAAACTCTGAATCAGTCCAATAAATCAGACCAAAATCTAGCCTCTATCATGCCTGACTCAACCAAGGCCGCCACTGGAACCCAGTAAAGATGCTGTTGGTCATTTAGTTACTGTCTTGATGCATCCTCAAGCACTTCCAGTTTTTCAAAGGTCTCAGCACCATGGGTATTTGGGATGCTCTAGGCTGCCTCCCAGCTGGCCAACTCTGCCTTCTCCCTCCCTTCTGCTCCCCCCAGGCACACCCTCGCCCTGTGCACGCACAGACACCCACTCACCAGCCTGGAACGAGGCACCACTGAGAAACCACTGACTGTGTCCAAGGCTCATCTTGTCATCACAATCAACTCTAGAGGACAGATTAGGCAAAGATTAGATTCTTTTCCAAATGAAAAGCCAGGGCTCAATGAGGCTAAATACTTGGTGGACTATGACCTGGGGCAGTCTGATTTACTTCACCCGCTCCAGGTTAACAGGTGGGACAGTGAGAAGGTTTTAAGCCCTCCCTCCCTGTAGCATGCTCATCCCACCCCTGACACCCCATCTTGCCCTTCAGCCCTGCAGTGGCACCAGGAGCAGGAGGTAAGAAAACAGGACCTGGAAGGTGGAAACTCTGGGAGGATAAGGTCAAAGTGGTGGTGGTGGTGGTGTGAGGATGGAGGTACGGGGTTTGGCCTTGGGTAGGGACAGAACTCTGGTCTGGTGGGGGGAGGCATGTGAAAGCAGGGTGGTAAAGGAAAAGATAGATGGAGAGGTTGATGGGGAGATAAAAGTCCCCCAGATTCTGAGTGTCTCTGTGTCCTTGCCTTGTCTGATACAGAGCTCTGCTCCTGAGGTTTGGCATTCCCCTACCACAGTCACCACCACTCCCAGCAGGGGAGGGGTGTGACCATTCCCCACTCCTTGCCCCACCTGCCCGGAGCCCTCTGCTAGGCAAAGGGTCAGCTGGAGCTGTGGAGAGAAGAGAGGGCTCTGTCATCTCTGGGAGAGGAGGCAGGGGGGCTCTGCAGCAGGAAGGAGAAAGCAGGACAGTGCGGCTAATGTCAGTGGGGAGGCCTGGGTATGGGAGGCATGGCCCCCCAACAGATGAGGAGGGGCTCTGGCAAGGGAGAGCAGGCCCTGAAAGGGTGGCTGTCAGGAAACATGCCCCCACTTCAAGCCCAGCCTGGGGAAGGTAGGTGGGGAGGGGCTTTGTCACCAGGAGACCCTTTGTATTGCCAGCTTTTTGCAGCAATACAAGCCCCTATCTAATCCCTGCCTCCAGCTTCCAGGCCTGATGGGAATTTGCTCCCTCTTCGGGCTTCAGGCCTGAAGGGCAGGAACAGTAGGAGGTGTGGGCGCCCCCCAAGGGCCACCTTGAAGGCCGGCTGGGGCTGGCGACAGACTCGCGCCAACTCCAGATCCTGCTGCCCGCCCCAGCCTGGGAGAGGAACGCCCAGGATCAAAGGGTGAGGTCAGTTCGGTCCCCCGCAACCCTGAGCGCTTTTCTGGCTGCCAGGCACCGGCCCCGCACTGTGCGTGGGTTCACCATCCCATCCGAACACTAGCTTTGTGCTCTCCTCTCCTTCCTTTTTCAGACACTGATACGCATGAGGGGAAAGCTCACGAACACTGCACTCAGCTCAGTTCAACCCCTGACCTTGCTTCTCAGTAGCTGCGTGGCCTCTGGCAAGCTGCTTAGCCTTCAGAGCCTCGGTTTCCCGTCTCTAAAAATCATAAACGTAGGAGCTAGACTGATCTCAGGTTTTCTTAGTGAAGATGAAGAGTGACAGGAGGTCTGGGAAGCCAAAAGCCCGTCGCAGACATTCTCTATAGGGCTCTTCTCCAGGGAGGGGAAGCCCTAGCCAGCTTCCTGGCAGAGGTGCCTGGGAAGGGCTGAGAGGCCAGTAGGAGGCGCTGTCAGCGCGCATGCCCGTCAGGACCTCTCTGGGGCTGTAGGGAGGAAGGTGTCCCGTCTGGAGAGGACACTGTGGAGTCTGTGAACTAACACCCGGCCTCCCCAACACGCGCCTCCCACCTTACCTCCCGTCCTCAGCCCAGGCCTAGGCTTTGGCCGCACCTCCCGGGGCTCTCCGCCCTCGGGGCCCCCCTGACCCACCCCAGGGCGGGCTGATCTCCCCTTGGGGGGTCGGAGTCAAGAATGAGCGCGTCAACTGGGGCATATTAACACGTAGGAAAACACACCAGCACCTGGAGAAACAGGAGCTGGGACCGGGGGAGGGCGGCCGGGGCCTTGGAAGTCAGAGCCCGAAAGGAGCGATAATTCACCCGAGCGTCCGCGGCCTCCCGCCCGCTCCCCACCCCCGCGCCCGGCCTCCGGTTTCAAAGGCGGACAAACAGCGCGCGGTGCCGGTCCCGGCTCCTCGCTAAATCTCCCTGTCTTCAACTTCTTGTAACTTGAGCCGCCAGAGCTGCCCCTCCCTCGGAGGCCGGACGGGTACAGGAATTGGGGGGTTGGAGGGGGAAGGCAGAGGGGAGGGGGAGGAGAAGGGGCAGACGGGGGCGGGGGGGGGGGGGTTCCGAGTCCCACCGCGGCCTCAACCCTCCCCCGTTTCTTCTGGATTGAGCAGCCTCTGGGCCCCCACCTGGGGCCATCTGCCTGTCCCTCCACTTTGGGGGGCTCTCTGTGGGGTGCGTTCCTCTAGAGGAAGCCTTTGGTTTAACATGAACTGCAGCATTGGAGTGTGGGTGTGATTCTAGACGGTTCTGAGCAGGAGCAGAGGGTAGGTGTGTGAGAAGGGATGGGGAGGCTGTTGTGAGCTCACACCTCAGCATGTGGAAAAGTCGTTTTGGTGCCGAAATTGGGAGCAGTCAGAGATGGGGAGACAGGGAGTCCTCCTCCTCCTCTGAAAAGTAGCCCGGGAGGGCTTCCCACCGCCACTCTAACCTGGACCGCGCTCAAGGGGCTGCTCCCGCCCGGCTGCAAAACTCTTCTAATCACTGAGATTGCCTGGGGGCGGGGGCGGGGCGGGGCCCTGGGGGCTGTTTGGGGGTCTCATCTAGAGAGCCAGCAGGGAGGGCCGTGCTTCAAGGCCCAGGGTGGGGTGGAATCACAAGGCTCAGGGGAGCCAGAAGCTTCCCGGAGGGACAGGGGACCTTCAGTTCAGACCCAGCAGGCTGGCTGGGGGAGGCAGGGGTCAGAGCACAGAGGTGAAGGGCAGGGCTAAGGGTGCTGGTGAGTCAGGGGAAAGAGTGAGATTTGAGGGTAAAGTAGAGTTCCAGGGGTGGAGCCGGCTCAGTCGCAGTCTGCAGTGAGGGGTGGGCAAGGAGTAGGAGTTCGGATTCAGAGGCGGGGAAACATGTTGGGGCAAAGCATAACAGTGAGTACAGAGTTCATGCATGCCATTATCAATCAACAAATATTAATTGAGCACCTCCCATATGTCAAGCACTGGTCTACTTGCTGGAAATATAGAGCAGTGGGCAAAACACAAAACTGCCCCCTCTGAGGTTACATGCCAGTGGTGGAGGCAGCTTAAAAATTTAAAAGCAGAGAAATTGTATGTAACATGGTGGTAAATGCTCCTGAGACAAAGCTGGGAAGGAGGATAGGGAATGACAGGACAAGTATTGCAGTTTTTAATACAGCCTACACAAGAAGGTGACATTTGTGTCCAAACCTCAAGGCAGGGAAGCAAGCCAAGCAGATCGCCTGGTGAAGAGCATTCTAAGCAGAGGGAACAGCAAAGGCAGAATGCTGCGTAAGTACAGCCCGCGTGTCCAGTTTAAGGGAAGGCACAGACTAGTGTGGCTGGAGCAGGGAGCAGGAGGAGGCCAGGACGGGGAGACTGAGGTTAGGGTTAGATCGGAGTAGGGCTCTTCTCTGAGTTAACAGGGAAACCAACCGGAAGCAGGCAGGCGGAGGCCAGCAGGGAGGGAGGCAGGATAGAGGCGGAGAGCTCGGTGAGGGCAAAGGAGGCACCCCTGCCCCTGAGAACTCCCGCCCTCTGGTGGGGCTGGGGCATCTGGCTCTGGGCCTCTCCGGATCTTACCCAGTGACTCCAGAGCCGGGGATGCCACTTCTCTTGGAGCTCGTCTTCAAGAACTTTGTCATCCACCCCACCCCCACCCCCACATTTGTTTGCTAATAAAAAGCTGGCGCGGGGCCTGTCTGCCTTCTCCAGATCGCCAGCGTTCGCCTTCCCTCCTCGCTCCTGCCGGCTTCCTCTCCCTCTCCCTTTCTCTCCCTGAGAGCTGATGCAGTTAATTGGAGCGTCTTGAAAGTGCACATTAACACACAGAGAGCCAAGGAGACGTCTTGGCAGCGAAATATCATTATCACTTCTTGAGCTCCAGCCAAAATCCCCTCGCGGTCAAAACACAATTCTTTAAACTAAACAATTAAAGATTTGTGCATGTGTGGCTGCCATGAGGTATCAGGCTGGGAGCGGCTGCCCCTGCCAGTGTCAGCAGAAGTTAGCAACCTGCTCCACGCTCCGAGCCAGGTGGTGGGTCCGGGAGTCCAAGTAAGTAGGATAAACAGGCCCACAGCAGAGGCCTGATTGCCAGGAACAATCTGCCCCTGTCCCCAAACCTGGACAGCCACAGGCTTGAGACCCCGGAAAAAAACATAGCCATCAAAGTCCATCTCCACCCCTCATCAGGCGTTGGCGTTCAACATCGAACTTAATGTTACTCTGGACTTAGCCAGCAAGGGGTCCACTCCCTTGTAGAAGCTAGACCCCCAAACCTTTTATTCAGTGTTCCTACCAGCCCATCTTCAGAAGCCCCAGGCCCTGGAATAAGAATCACTGGGCACACAGTGCCCCTTGTGGCTGGAGCTGTAGGTCATGTCACTCTGGGACTCAGGGATAGGATGGGGTGCTTATGATTTCCAGTGCACTGAATCTACCCTATCACAGAACTTTCTTCCCCCTTCCCATAGCCCAAGCTCATGCCCACCTGCTCCAACTCAGCACTGTGACGATATCACACACAGTTATGCACACCACATAGCCCAGTTTGGAGCAGAGAGATGATGGGGCCACCACTTAGCCCTGCCCCATATGTAAAGTTCATACCCTGCCCAGACCTCAATGAGGCCCCTGCGTATGGTCGTGGGGAGAAATACAAATCTCACCAATGTGTTACAGAGTAACTATGGTGACCTCAGGCAAGTCCCTGCCTCTTGCTGGGCCTCAGTTCTCATGTGTGTGCCCTATGGATTTGGGCTTGGCATTGAAGATTCCTCCCAGTTCAACAAAGTTGTGATTCTGTGATTATATGTACCGATTGCAAGGGCCACAGAGGTATGCAGGCAGCAGTTTCAGAAAGCCCACTCCTTCTACCCTTGGACAAGTTCCTCTTACACTATGCATCCCAAACCAATTCAGTGAGAGCTCACCATGTCCTGGGCAAGGGAAGCTGGGGATGCCAGGGATGGTCCCTCTGCCTCCAGCTGTGTTAGAGTCTCCCTAGACTGCCAACGAAGCTTGAGTTTGGTGAAGCAATGACTCAGGTGCCAGATGCCTGGATTCAATCCTAGCTCCCTACTCATTAGCTATGTGATCTTGAGCAAGATACTTAACTTTTCTGTGCCTCGGTTTCCCCATCTGTATAATGGGCCTAACAATAGTACTCCCCCTCTTAAAGTTTATGTGAAGATGAAATGAGTAAAAATATATGGAAACCAGGACAGTGCCTGATTCATAGAAAGCATTCAATGAATAGTAGCTATCATTATTTCTGTCGGTTTTCTAGGGGGAAGCTACAGTGGTTTGTCTCTAAAGATGGCATCTCAGTTAACCATGCTTCCCTGCATTCATACTCTTGTGTAGATCCCTCCGGTATTCAATCTCAGACAGCCCCAGAGTGACCCGTAGAATGTGGCAAAAGTAATACTGTGTGACTTCCAAGACTAGGCCAGAAAAAACTTTCCTGCCTGGGCCCTCTTGACAGGTTCACTGTCCAGCACCAGGGCAGAAGTCCAACCACCCTGAGCCCACCACACTCTGAGGAAGCCCAAGCTAGCCACATGGAGCAGCCACAAGGAGAGAGAAAAAAGATACTTGGCCAAGCACCCAGCTGAGCTGCCAGATACAGGAGTGAGGAAGATAGCCTGGACATGCCCCCCCAGTCAGCCCCATCCCAGCAGCCACCTAACTGGAGCCCCCAAGAAACCCCAAGCAAGAACCACCCAGCTGAGCCCAGTCAGCACACAGAACTAGGACAGATAAAAATGAATTTTCAACCGAAAGTTTTTGTGATGACTGCCCTTGCACTGTTCACCGTGTAAGAACTTATTCACTATGTAAGAACTTGTTCACCATGGAAGAACTTGTTCGTTATGCTTCAGAAGATCGGAGACTGTTGAGAATTAGGCTTGGAGTTGATTAATGATTGTACATTGAGTCCCCTATACAGAATTTTATTGTTGTTAACAACCATTTGATCAATAAATATGAGAGATGCCCTCTCAAAAAAAAAAAAAAGAATTTTCATTTTAAACAACTGAATTTTGGGGTGATTTGTTCCACAGGAATGGACCTTAGCCTTGGGGTGAGTTGGAGTTGGAAGGAACCTTGGTGACTCTAATTTGAATCAAATTCTCATCAGGTCATGATGTCCTCTGCCTTCCATTGACCCCACAATGGCTTCCTGTCACATTCTGAAAAAAATCCAAAGTCCTACCAGGCCTTATGTGCTCTGTGTCCCACTCTCCCTCTGACCCTGGTCCCTATCACTTTGCCCTTCCCCTCCTCTGCAGCAAGTGCTCTGGTCTCCTCATCAGTCCTAGAACATGAAATAGGCTCCTGCCTCAGGGCCTTTGCTAGTGCTCTTCCCTCTGTTGGAGTGCTTTTCCCCCTTAGGTTTTCACTGCTCACTCCTTCATTGTATTCAGGTCCCTGAGTCATATGTCACCCCTTTGGGGGGCCCTTCTTGCAGGAGTACCCTCCAGTAATATCCTTTCTCTCCCCTTCCCTGCCCCATTTTTCCTCAGTTACCCACTGCTAGTGGTATCACATTACACATTTATTCAGGCACTCATTTACCATCTCTCTCCCTTCCACTAGAATATAAGCTCCATGAAAGTAGGAGTTTTGTTTGTTTGTTGCCCACTGAGCTCCAGGGCCTAGAACAGTGGCTGACACACAGTAGGTCCCATCCAGCTGTAGGATAACTGAAACTTCTCTATCCCAAGGAAGGAACTGAGGCCTGGAGATGGGACAGTGACTTGCTCCAGGTGCCATGACTACTTAGCCTGACCCTGTCCCAGAGCTCTCTCTGCCCAGCTGCCCCCATGCACATCTGCATTCCCCAAAAGCCCCTTCTGTCTTTTGCCTACTGAGCAGCAGCCCCCCTCTCTGTCACTCAGGGGGCCCAATAGCCCTCAGCTCTTCCAGTTGTTTCTGTCAAACAGTATTTACAATAAACTTTGTTTGAACTTTTGTCTAAGTGATAATAATAATAACACGATAATTATATGGAGTATAACGTACAGCCAGCTGTATTTAATTAAAGCTGTAATTTCACTAAGGGTTTCTGGAAACAGAGTAAACTGCAAGAGTCGTACTACCCATACCTCTATGCGGGGGTTACATCTGCACGGGAGCAGGGTGACTGGAGCAGAGGCCTCGGAAGCCAGACACCACCAACAGCGTCCGGCTTCCAGAGCCTGGGTGCTCCCATCTTGGAGCCCTGCAGAGGGTGGGTCTGCAGGGGCCTCGGGCCAAAGACTGAGTCTGGAAGCTCTCAGAACATGTGCACTGATTTCTTCTGATCTTTGCTGGCTAACAGGAAAGTACTTTCTTTCAAGACACTGGAAAAGAGGGCTCAGGAGCTGAAAAGGTGCCTAATAGGAGCAAGGAAGATGCCTTGGAAGGCCAGCGACCCTGGGTGTGGCACAAAGGCAAGAAATCTGTGCCAGCTGCAGGAGGGCAGGCCAGGCATGGAGTCAGTTGGCAAAATTTTGCTTACTGCATATGGGCATTAACCCCGGCACTGTGCCGGACACTGGGGTTCAGGAGACATGGGCTTTGCTGAGAGTTTGGCTGAGCAAGGAGACAGCCTTATACACCAACCACAAGAGAAGTCCCCCAGGAGAGGAGTGCATTGCCCCAGGAGAGGAGATGATGCAGGTTTAAATCCTGACTGCCTTTACCTCTCTGTGCCTCACTTTTTACATCCATAAAATGGGGAAAATAGTATCTACTTCAGAGGGTTATTATGAGGAGTAAATGAATGAATCTGTGTCATGTGCTTAGGACAACAGTAGAGAGAGTCAATAAGTGTTAGCTGTTATCATAGGATATTTCTGGGAGCACAGAAACGGGAATCATTTTGACTTGGAAACAGGGAGACCAACCATCCTGGCTTAGTTGTGAAACAGTGCTAAAACCAGGACAGTCACAGGAAAACCAGATTGTTAGCCACCCTACCTGGAAAGCTGGGTCAGGGAGAAGGTGACATCGTAGCCAGGCACTTGCTAAGGATGACAGGGACCTAGTTCTGCAAAAGGCAGAGAATACATGGAAAAGTATGGAACCAGGGATTCAGACCCAGATTACTCGTGACCTCCCGTGTCACAACCCCTGTTGGAGACTCAGTTGTCCCATCCATAGCCTCAGAGGGGACTAACTGCTCTCCGGGGCCCCTTGCAGGTCTGCAATCAGAGGAGGCTGGGGCTGCAGGAAAGGCCTGGTGGGAGGGCCTCCTGGGTTGCCCCGCCTGCCCACCACATGTGTACACACACACACACACAGTGGTAGGGTAAGGATGAGGGGTCAGCAGCACAGGATAGAGGAGACGCTTGCCCACACAGGAAGTTGCCTCTTTGGGGCCTGTTGCAGGACCAGGTCAGTAGTGTTAACTGGAGAGTCAGTCTTCATTGTCTGAAGAGGCTTGCTGCTGGGGGTGGAGGTTGAGCAAGAAGATCTGTGAAGAGATGCAGAAATATTCCTGGGTAATAAAATATCCCCTTTTCAGTGTCAAAGTTAATGTTCCAGGCCTCAGGTAAAACTGGCTTCTTATCAGTCAAATGTTCCCTGGAGAAGGCTGGGAGGCAGGCTGGAAGGAGGGAGCAGCTTCCCTTCCTCTGGGGTGGGGAGTCTCAATAGTCGGAGGAGGCTGAGCCCCCATTGTGACCCCATCATCATCCCCTGGACAAGGAGATCAGCCCAAGTGCAGGCTGTACTGCCCAAGGGTCAAGCTCTCTAGAGCTCTCTGTCTGCCTCCCTCATCTTCTTAATGAACGTTCATTCATTCTGCACCATCCCCATCCCTCACTCACTAGCCCCTTTCTCCTTGTTTTCTCTTGGCATTCTTTCCACCTGTCTGCTCTGTCACATCTGCATGGGCCTGCGTCTGGGACCATGTGTGTGTCTATCTGTCCTGATCAGGTTCTGTCCCCTGAAGCCAGGACAAGAGGCAGGAAGCCTTGCACACTGCCTGGGAGCCACACACTCATGTACCCAGTTCAGCTCTGTACATGCATGTATGGGTGGGCCGTGGTCTCACCCCATGAGCTGGTCTCCTGCCTATGCCCAGGGCTGCCACCTGCACTCCAGCATTGGCACTGAGCCCCAGACCCACTGGTGTGCGCCAGCAGCTCACACAGTGGCTCTGACAGGCCACTGGTTTAAATATAGAGTTGCGTATGCAAGATGGGGCTAATTTTAGCAGGAATGTGCTGGAAACTTTCTGAGGGCTCTGTTCTCTACTGTCTCCCCTATGCTCATTGCTCAGGGCTGGAAGTAAACCTTTTAGTCCCTGTTCCCTACCTACCTGTTTCTCCTTTCCATTTAGCCCTCTCCCCACTTCCAGAACCCAAACACTGGCCCTGTTCTGATCTTCATGGTGCCCTGTTCCCAGCAGCCTGAGGTTCTAAATCTTTTGTATCTCCTCTCCTGCCACAGTCTCTTCAGCATTGCCAAGGCTGGTGAGGTCTGGGGAAAATATCATTCGAGCAAAATTTTCCTTCATTCTGTCCCACCCCAGGGAGGTGTCCTGTCAGAAGAATATACCTGATTCACACATGGACACCATCTGCCATTCAATGAGCAGATAACATGCTAAGGGCTTTATCAAGAGTCACTCACTCAATCCTCACAACAACCTGGAGTAATAGTCCCATTTTATAGACCAGGACACTGAGGCCCAGAAACCTTCAAGGACAGGGTCATGCAACAACCCCACTTTTGGTCACCAAATACATTATCTTTCACAGGGATTTCATCTGCCTTTTAAGTGAGAGCCCTGGGAGGAGGCAGTCATGTTTAGCTGAAAAGAATAACTGTGATGACTCTAATTCCGGAAGAGCACAGATCCTTGGGGCAGGAATGGGCAGCTGCCTCCTCTGATCTCTCCGGCTTCTGGTGGCCTAGAGCCCCGCCCAGAGACCCAGGGCAAATAGACTATGGTTTCCCCCCCCCACAAATTCTGCCTTTGCTCTTGTTCCTCTCCTGCTCTGCTTTCCCTTATTCCTTCAGGTGGCATTTATGGAGCACCTACTGTGTGCCCGGCATTGTTGCACATGCCTGGCTGAGCGGATAAATGAAGTAAAGGGCAGGGCTTCGTTCTGAAGTCCTCATGGCTTAGTGGGTGGAAGGCGCAATAGAGTAAACAGCTGCGTTCTCGTCGGTAAGGATGGTAACAGGAGCCAGGACAAAGAGAGGAAGAGCTGACATCCAGAAGGGGCTGCACCCCCAGCAAGGAACTCCAGAAGGCATCAACTCTCCCTCCCCACGCTGCTCTGACTGCTCTCTCTGGCAGCTCCAGAAAAATGCCCTGTCTCCCCACGGGGCTATGTAACAGCACTGCGCAGTTGTTGTGTTTGAGTGTGAGGACATTTCCCTGTAATGAGGATTAGAATAGTAATGAGGGGGATGACACGCTGTAGTTAGAGAGCAGCAGATCTCCGGGGAACGCTGGCCCACCCTCCTCAGGACACCAGCTGCCAGGAGGTGACAGAGGCTGTGTCCCATTAGCCAGGCCAGGAGCCACCAGGCAGACATCCAACTCTGGCTGCTGTCCCAGGCCCACTCCCCTGGGGAGGGGGTGCGCTGGGGCCTGGGGGCTGTGGTCACGCCCTGGCAGGGGGGAACCCCAGGAAGGAGTAGAGGGCTCATTTAAGACTGCAGCCTCTGCACGCTTCTTTGCCTCCTTTTCCTCCATGGCACTAAATTCCTTTGAATATACGATATAATAATCTTATTCATTTTCTTACTGCCTCCCTGACTAAAACATAATTCCCATGTTTTGGC